ATAATTGTATCTTCTCTACCTAAATTGTCCATTTTTTCTCTGCCTAAATTGTCCACAATCTGAGCGTCAATTAGGGAGACATTACTGTACTTAAAGAAGTGTCCTATGATCAGCGTTATTCGAGAATTAAAGCGATTCTTATATCTGTTGTTTTATCAAAAATTTATGATGTTGATAATATATACACGAAAAAGAAAGCGTTTGAAAGAAATAGTTAGGTGCTTGAATAAAGCTCCTTCGATCAGTATAATGGAATTATTAAAACACTTCCTACGTCTACTGTTTTATCACTAAAAAATAACTGCACGAACAAGATATCGTAAAAAATAGTAACATACTTAAAGAAATGTCCTCCAATCAGCGTTATTCGAGAATTAAAACGATTCTTATATCTATTGTTTTATCAAAAATTTATGATGTTGATAATATATACACGAAAAAGAAAGCGTTTGAAAGAAATAGTTAGGTACTTGAAGAAAGCTCTTTCGATCAGCATAATTTAAGTATTAAAACACTTCTGACGTCTACTGTTTTTTTTTTTTTACAATAAAGAATAATTGCACGAACAAGATACCGCGTGTAGAAAATACTAACGTACTTAAAGAAATGTCGCCCAATCAGCGTCGTTCGAGAATTAAAACACTTCTTATTTCTACTATTTTACCAAAAATTTGTGACATTGATCATATATACGAAAAAGAAAGTGTTTGTAAAAAATAGTTAGGTGCTTGAAGAAAGCTCCTTCGATCAGCATCGTTGAAATATCAACCCTTTGCACTCGAAGCTATTTTATAACAGAAAATATAAAATCATTTTTCTAACTCACAGTATTCCTATTTTATATGAGAAAATGCATTTTATGCATGAAAATTTACTCTTGGGACTCGCGCAACAGTTACACTCTTAACAATTTTCCAAATGTAAACTTTGTTAATATCAAAATTATCCTAGAAGGTGGTATAACAAATATTAGCGGTGTCTCAGAGTCGCCACTCGAGGGTGGTTAAACTTGCAAAGGGTTAAAAGTCGTTTTCTGACGACTACTATTTTATCAATAAAGGATGACAGCGTCGAGAAAGGTATCGACGACGGAACAAACTAAATAAATTACTCTTTAAAAGAAGTGCTCACGTGGATCAACCCTTTGCACTCGAGCGGTGACACCGTGGCATCGCTGAAATTGTTGCACCGCGTTCCAAGATCATTTTTACATTAAGAAAGTTCCGATTGAACAAATTGTCGCGAGCATAACTATTGCACGAGTCGCAAGAAGACTATAAATTTCATTCGCGTAAAATGCACTTTGTCGCATAAAATGGAGATACTTTGAGTCCGAAATATTATTTTAGATTTACAGTTAAATTGGCTTCGAGTGCAAATACAGCAAGAGCGAACTAATTACGCTGTCGAAGCGACGTAAAGATTTGTCGCGTTGATAAAGCGAAGAATAGTGGGAGAATAAAAGCGCGTATATAAAATTTCGAGTCAAAGATCGCGATTAATTGGTCGTTCGAGAAAAATAGCATGATCAAGCAGATCTTGGTGACTCGCGTGCTCGACGTGATGACGTTCTTTAGCCGCGTTCGAGATGACGCAAACTCGCGAAAGGTGTCGGAACCGCGTCGCGAGATCGGCTGGACCGAAATTTTTCGATGATGATTCACGGGACAACGACCGTCGCCGTTTCAAGTGTGCCGAAATATTCGCGAAATCGCGCAACCGATCGCGACGAGTCGTCGACGTAAGTTGCAAGGCAGCCTTCTCTTCGATTCTTTATCTTAACGCTAGATTCGCGGAGCGGAAAAAAAACAGCTGTCTTATATCAGTTTACAAAAGTAACGATGAGACATTTATTCTGATTTTTAGCAAGCGTTAAAAATGCAACATTTGCCTTAAGAAATGTATAAATTAACGACACGAATAATAATAGTAAATTGAAAAATCAGCGACCCGTCATTCCGACGAGTTTTCTATGAACTTAGTATTAACCCTCTGCAATCGGAGACGTTTCAACTGCAAATGCAAAACAGTTTTTCCGAACTACAATATTTACATTTTCTGTGACTTATAATTAGTATATTTTACGCAAATAAAATTTAATCTCGCGATGCAAGCAACACTTTTAATATAGGTTCTTAAATATAAACTATTTTGACGATTTGAAAATTAGTTTGCAACGTGGCGAAACAATTTTTAGCGGGGCTTCGGAGTCACCTCTCGAGTGCAAAGGGTTGCAATTTAACCTTGCCGTCGAATTTTCTTCGTAGCTACAACTATTAGAAGCTTCTTTTATTGCAACAATTTCTAAGAAGAAAGAAAATTTGCGTGCATTTATCGCGTGTCTACGTTTGCTCGGATATTTCAATATCGACGACAAGAAATCACAATTTCTTCATACCTCACATATTATATTATTGCCAGAAATCTCCGTCCCGCGAGTCAGACTCGTCGACGTCAAACCGTCGGTTAACTCCGTCACGTCGAAAACTATACTTCGAAATTTTCTCGGCACTTCACTTATTCTTTCCGACGCGAACTCCGTTTCAAAATCGACGTCTCCATCGCAGCAGAATGAAAGCGCGTAATCTACACGGCACGAATCACTTGAAACAACGAGATTCCGACACTTGGTCGCGACTTTTCGAAAATGCCGACTTTCGATTTTCGGACGGAATTTGACATCGAATTCCTCGTCTGCATCGAAACTTACGATTTTCCTAAACGCGCTCGAACTCCGTGGACGGACGTTCCGCGTGCTGTTCCGCGTGAATTCGCGCGAAGAATTCGCGAGGCGCGCTAAAAGCGGACCGCGCGTTTGTTGCGCGCGACAACCACGTGTTGCACCCCTAGCCGATACGGCACGTCGCGGTGCGCCAGCAAACTGGAGCACGCGATTCCCGAGCGGGAAAAGTAGGAAGCGGTGGCAGTTGTGCGAAAGAGAAAGAAAGAAAGAAAGAGAGAAAAAAAGAATTTTCAACATATCCAGTGTTTATTCAGTCTGTCGACGGTTCTTATTACAGAGTGCAGTAAACAGAGGCGTAAAAAACAGCAGGAGAAAAAACAGACTCCTCGGAAACGTGTAAAAGAAATAAATATACGAATAAATAAATAAATACGTAAACTATAAATGACTCGGTTAAAAAAAATATATATATGGTTAGTTGAAATGAATAGTTTTGTAAAATATAAATAACTCGGTTTTCAAGAAAATATGTAGTTAGTTTAAATGAATAGTTTTGTGACATATAAATGACTCGGTTTTCAAGAAAATATATAGTTAGTTTAAATTAACAGTTTTGTAACATATAAATGACTCGGTTTAAAGAAAAATATATAGTTACTCTAAATTAACAGTTTTGTAACATATAAATGACTCGGTTTAAAGAAAAATATATAGTTACTCTAAATTAACAGTTTTGTAACATATAAATGACTCGGTTTAAAGAAAATATATTGTTACTTTAAATTAACAGTTTTGTCAAACATAAATGACTCGGTTCAAAGAAAAATATATAACTACTTTAAATTAATAGTTTCGTCAAACATAAATGACTCGGTTCAAAGAAAAATATATAACTACTTTAAATTAATAGTTTCGTCAAACATAAATGACTCGGTTTTCAAGAAAATATATAATTACTTTAAATTAACAGTTTTGTAACATATAAATGACTCGGTTTAAAGAAAATATATTGTTACTTTAAATTAACAGTTTCGTAAAACATAAATGACTCGGTTCAAAGAAAAATATATAATTACTTTAAATTAACAGTTTCGTAAAACATAAATGACTCGGTTCAAAGAAAAATATATAATTACTTTAAATTAACAGTTTCGTAAAACATAAATGACTCGGTTCAAAGAAAAATATATAACTACTTTAAATTAACAGTTTTGTCAAACATAAATGACTCGGTTCAAAGAAAAATATATAACTACTTTAAATTAACAGTTTTGTCAAACATAAATGACTCGGTTCAAAGAAAAATATATAACTACTTTAAATTAATAGTTTCGTCAAACATAAATGACTCGGTTTTCAAGAAAATATATAATTACTTTAAATTAACAGTTTTGTAACATATAAATGACTCGGTTTAAAGAAAATATATTGTTACTTTAAATTAACAGTTTCGTAAAACATAAATGACTCGGTTCAAAGAAAAATATATAATTACTTTAAATTAACAGTTTCGTAAAACATAAATGACTCGGTTCAAAGAAAAATATATAATTACTTTAAATTAACAGTTTCGTAAAACATAAATGACTCGGTTCAAAGAAAAATATATAACAACTTTAAATTAACACTTTCGTAAAACACAAATGACTCGTTTTTCAAAGAAACAAAGGCCTATGACCTATCATCCCCGAGATTATTTTTCATCGTATCGCACCTCCGACACGTACAATCGTCTCGAAAATAATTTTCGAGCGAAACAAAGATTCGAGAAGTGGCGCGCGAGGACAGGGCCGCCGTTTCTACGGCGCATAGTATCAATTAATTGTGCGACTACGATTCTGCGACTACGTAATCACCAGGATCGGTGCCCGCTACCAGGTCCTCGCGGATGTTAAATTTTTGGTGTGTCTGTTCGTCGACGTCGAGTTTTCATGCAACGCGCGGGGCTCTCTACCTTCGGTGCCTCCTTTTCACGCGTCTTCCTGCAAATTTGTTCGAACGAAAAAGAACCGTTCAACTCTAACCAACAATCAGAACACGTCGGACGACGACGACACAGGAGAGACACAGGGAGCAGCGTGTGAAAAGCGTGCAGAAGAAGGTACCGACGCGACTACCGAGCGCGAGCGCGTCCAATTCCACCAGGTTCGTTTTGCGAACGAACGAATGACTTATTCTCCTGGCAATGAAACCGAAGCTGGCGCGCGGACGCGTATCGGTCAAGTGGTCGGCGGATGGATCGAGTGGTGTTGCGCAAGGACACGTAGGAAAGCGCCGAGGCAGGTGTGTACGTATCTTAAAAAATCGTAGAACTCACGGTTGCGCGACGGATGTTGGGCCGTCCTGCTTCGGAGGACCTGTTGCAGCGCGGCGTACAGATCCAGCATCAGTTGCTCCAGCTGCTGGCCCTGGGCCTCTGCGTCGTCGTCGGATGGCAGAGAGAACGGGATCGCCATAATTACTCTCGGCGGTGTAAGCAGCTGGTAAGTTAGGGATTTTCTTCGGCTCTCTCTCCTCTTCCGTCTCGCTTCAAGCGGAAACCCACTGGAATCGAAGCAACGTATGTCCGTGGATCAAACACTAACCACTTTTACAATATATATATTCTTTTTCTTTCTCTCTCTCTCTCTCTCGCTCGCACACACAAACGGAGAGCGACCGTTTTTTCTTTCTCTCGAATAGTCAAAGAGATCTGGCTAAGACGCGCGGTCTGCCTCTCCTATTCTCGTTCCGGCGGCACACACGTGACTTTCGGCTACGACGGCGCACGCTCCGGTGTTCCGTCGCCGCGGCTACCAGCTCTAGCCGCCACGGATTGTCCGTATAATACGCACGTGGCCCGCGAATTTCCGCGGCGGTTCGAACGGGAAACTAGGGCGCGGCGATTCCGAGAATATATATATCTTTATCTCTCGCTCTCTTTCGATTTATTTCGTTCAATCGCGTCGTCTGCAGCGCCTGTACGGTGGATCCTCGTATGGATCAATTTCCATAGGTGCTGTATGCGAGATGAAGACTCTCGAACTCGGAGAAAACTCTCTCTCTCTCTCTCTCTCTCTCTTTTTCTCTCTCTGTAGACGGGGCGAGACAGGGACTCGTGTCGTCGAGAGGCGATTATCGGATCGTCGACGACGACGACGGCTGTCCTTCGACCGGAAGCTACGGATAACAGTTCGGATTTGTGACACAGAGTTCAATGTCCTCGGTGTATGCACGGCACACGTTGCACTCGGGAGAGTCCGCTCGCGAGAGCGCCGATCTCCGATCTAGCCACTAGCGGAGCAGTTCACACAGAACGTATAACTTCGACTCGCGAATGGAAGCAGCGAATATGATATATATATATATATTATATATATGTGTATATATACATATATATATATATATCTCGTTCGCTCCCGTCTCCGCGGAGTCGGTTCCCGGTTGCTCTTGTAATCACGCACACGGTCGGTCAGGGTCGACGGAACAGGCACACGGTAGAGAGAGATTCGCGTCTCGACTGTTCTCCCCTTGTGATTTTTCACGGGACTTGACACACGCGTGCAAAGTGCAACGTAGAAAGTATAAAAGCGACGCGAGAACACTCGACTGAGCTGTGGTAACGAGAAACACGTCTGTACCCCTCGAGGTCTGGCGTGGTAATGATTCTGTAGGTTCGGCTCCGAGCACACGGCGCGCACGTTCGTAGCGGCAACAGACTCTTCCCCCACCGCCGAGGCATCGCGCGGCCGGTTGGCCGGGCCGGTGGGGGCAACGGTGCGCGCGCACCCACCGCCAGCGCTCGTACGACGCCGAAGAAAGGGAGGAAAGAAAGAGAGGCGGTGGTGGGGGTCCCGCGCGGTGAACGTGCGTGTGCGACCAAAAGAGCCTGTGTGTTTCCCCTGGCGTGCTCGCGCGTGGTGTTGCAGCAGCGCTGTAAATTTACCGGTTTGGGGTCAAGTGGGGTAAAAAGATGTAATGAAAATCGAAACTTTCGTGAACGCCGCGGCGCGTTTCACGCTCCGCGCTTTTCTAGCCCGTGTTCGAATCGAATCTGATGATTTCGTACGCCCACTCTCGACGGTGTTTTCCTTTTTTTTTCTTTTTTCTTTTCGTCTTATTCGAAATAATTAACGTATTTTGCTGCGATCGCGTAAAAGGATCGAGACGCGGGGGAACGTCGCTTCGAGACCCCGAAAGGGGGTCACGAATTTATTTTGCGAGCGTTACGCATTTGGAGTTGTTTATTTTGCGGGAGATTTTCTGTTCTTTCGATGCGTCCGCGTTAATCGAATTCAAGGTGGTGGAAGAAGAAATCGCTTGGAAAATGTTCTTCGAGAGTGATTAATGTAAACCGCGAGCGGTTGAATCGTGTAGCATGTAGCAATGAGATCTCGACAGAAGGGAGAGAGAGAGAGAGAGAGAGAGAGAGAGAGAGAGAGAGAGAGAGGGAACCCACACAAATGAACACCGTGCTTGCATGCAGTTCGAGGCGGTTCGTAGAGGCGCGTACGACACGACGGAACGACACCCGAGCGTAACTGCGTAGTTTCTACGAGCAACTCCACGGGGGTAGTTACAGTTTCGCCGATACTCCGGTTTTTAGGAACCGGAATTATCATCCGCGAGGAACGTCCTCGAGCCGCGGTTAACTCTCGTGTCAACGACCGCAGCACCGCGACGAAAATTTTTGCATCGCCGGAATCACGAAACGTTCTTCGAAAATGCTGCACTTGAAAATGTCAAACGCGGTTTATTCGGAACTGTTGATCCGATAAACAACGAATTGGAATTGTTTTATGAGACACGTACAGTAGCCCACAAAAGTGTTCGTACACCTTTTAAAACGTATTAACTGTTTTTACAACCAGACTTGAATTTTTTTAGATGATAGAGGGACTAGCATACCAAACAATGACCAAAATGTTTTTTTTTAATTTTGCTATTATTTGGGTCGATAAAATAAAGATAGAAAAACTCTCGTTTTTTAACTTTCTTATCTGAGCCTATAACGGGAATTTGAAAAATATCTCTCGTAGATCTCGTTAACTTATACGCATGCTGCAAATTTTTGCATTTATTTAATATGCGTTTAATATTCATTTAATATACATTTTTTAAATTTTCGTTAAAAAAGTTAAAAAAACTCTCGTTTTTTATTCCTATTTTCTTAGTCCCTCTATAACCTCCCCCCCCCCCCAAAAAA